ATAAATGCTGTCAAAAAGGGTTTTCTAAACAGTCTTTCTTTGTCACCTTTACAAGATTTTTGTCCTCTGTTGTAGAAATATGCAGTTTAATGTTGTGTTTCAAATAATTTTTGGCTGAAAAAGTGTGTAATGGAATCAGGGTGTCCCCTGAACACTGCTAACAGTAGGAGATGCCTCTTTGTTTTGAACACCAGAATCCCAGTAGACCCATGACAGCAGTGAAATTACACTTTTGACCTTGTTCACTAAAGTGTTTCTTTCTCTGTATGATTAAATGAGAGTAACCAACAATAACTTCCTCTAAAATGTATGAGTTTCCCTGTTTGTTTCTCATAAGAAACTCAGAAAGGATGCTGTGCAATTCTCAGATGATTGTGTTCCCCACAAAAGGAAAAAAAAAAAAAAAGAAAATGTAACAAGCCCTCCTTGATTCAAGAAGAGGTGACTGTTTTATCCATATTAAAAATGCAAAAGCAACTGATATATTGATATTTTCCTTAAGCCAGTGTTGTTGCTACATCCTGAGTGTGAGAAAAGCAGTACAACACAGTGGAAGATTTTTACCCTTTTGTTGCTTCATTCACCACATATTTTAGAAGGGGATATATACTAAAGCACCAAATATAGTTTTAAAGTATTGAATCTGAATACAGAAAATAACCATCTGAATACAGTGTGTGAATGCTGAAATACTCAAAAGATCATTTAGCTGATTATTATGGACTACACAGTTATGTCAATTCAAAAGATAAATGTAGTATTTTCTGTAGATCTACGTGCAGCCTTTTAGGCTCCTGATGTTGCTTTTGATTTACATGTGACTGAGTGTTTGTAGCCCACTGCAGGATTTGCTGTGACTGCCAGTCCTGCCGTATGCACAGAGGCGCTGGCACATCTCTTGCTCAACATTTAGTTGTTCAGGGCATGGCCTCTTGGCATCAGAAAACACTCAGTGAAGTGGCCAGAAGAGAGATACAAAATCAGATTTTTGTTTCTTCCATTTTAGGCTATTTCAGCTGTGTTTTGGGGACTTTTTTTCCCAGTGTATTCCTATTTTCTGTGAATATTTACCAGCTCTGGGTTAGGGAACGTACATACTTTGTCGTGCAGAGCAAGCATCTCTGAAACACAAGGGCAAGTACGATCCTGTAGTTCCTGTGGGTGGGGAGATGGGTTCAAAAGAGGGGAGAGGATTCAGGGAAATCTATAGTTTGTTTTTAGAGGGGATCAAAATAAGTGACTTAGTGGCCTCCGTGGCCTCAAGACTTAAGAGCAGTTTCTCCTGTTTATTTGCTCGCTGTGTATAATGCTATGTAGAGAGGGCATCAGAGCCATAGAAGGTGGAGGGCAGTGCACCGAGGGGGCTGCAGATCTGTGACTCCTGATTTCCTATCCTGACAAAAAACCTTTTATTTTTTAATTACTACTTCATTGGTGATATAAATTAATGATTGTTATGGGTCTGAAGCAACCTTGCCATCAGAGAGTATTTGGTTAGTGTTGATGTGTTCTCTGCAAACATGAATCATCCGGCTGCCTTTGGCAGGCTCGCCCTGTGGCTCTGCTGTAATGTGTTTTGCCAGTGTGGCTGAAATTAAAATGTCGCTATTAACATGGCAGAATCAGATGCTCTCTGGGCACTGCATCTCTTAGAGTTCTTCTTGCTTCCTATGTTGCTATTTCTGACAGTTTAATAGGACAGCTGTATTCTGATATAAAATAATACATTCATATTTCCACAGTGCATGGGAGCTAAATGCTTTTAAAGCACTATTTCATTGTGTATGTGCATCTTTCATGCATAGCAGAAGCAGCAATACTCACGTACTGCCATGTTGCTGTTTACTCCATTAGGAAGCATAAAGTCAAAATTAATTCTCCTGCAGGACCATATAAAGTGAGTCTAAAAGCAGTTGCTCGGTTGTTCGTGGCCGCCACGTCAGCCGGGCTCCCTCCCTGTGAGCAGTTATTGACTTTGGGCTATTGAATTCAGGGCTCTGGAGGTTGCTCGGTGGGAAAAGCCTTCAGTCGGTGCTTGGCAGCTCTGCCACTGCGAGGTCACAGAAAGGGCAGTTCAGTCTCTAAACCCAATTAGGGCCCGATTTGGCACCTCTTCAATCACAGGGGGAAATCCCACTGAGCAGAGTGGCTCTTGGGACAGGGTTTCACACCCAGCCTCTCCACTGAGACCGCTGACGAATGTGTCTGTATTTGTTACTTGGGCTGTCAGAAATATCCTTTGCTGACATGAAACGGCTAAGCAGCTGGTGCAGAACGGTAAAGAGCCTGGTAAGAGGATAATGAGCCCACCACCACTGAATTCAGACCAGTGACCTGTACGTGTATGTCTGCGTTCCCCCCATTACTCATATCTAGACCTGTCTAATTCCTCGGATCAAATCATTTGACTCTTACGACCAGCTGTAACTTTCAAGTTGAATAAAGTCCAACTGCTGAAAACATTAATGAAAAACATAAAACTGAGGCTCTGTTTTATCAGGTATCAACAGCATTCCTCTAATTCCCACCCTCCAAAGATATTTTTTGTGTGTGCTGCATTGTGCTTTTCATCCCAGGTGGCTGCAATTTCTAGTGAAAATAAGTTGAGCCATGAAAAGTTGACCCACTCGCCTCTGAATTGCTTTTTATATGATGTGAGTCCCTCAGGGCCCGATTCTACCCATAGAAGTGAGAACGATAGCTATCAACGTATATAGGAAGTATGTCAGTGTGCACAAAGAAAAAGGTGAATGCCAGACTGGTCTGAGTGGTCTTTAAAATATGGATTTCCTGTGAAATGGTGATTAAAGGGGAAGCAAAGGATAATTAGAAAATTAGCCTGACGTGCTAGCAGTTACATCAATGTGTGGTTTTATATTAGCTCTTTCAGACAAGCACAAGATCAGTAGATCCCTTATGACTCTCTTAAACTTGTGTGTAAAATTTGGTTAGTGTCTGATCAGCTCCTTTGATCAGTCTAGTCTAGACTGTTGCCAGAGTACTTGCTCCATACAAAACCTGCAGTCTCCTTAAATGGAGGCCTACCCAAGTGAGTCAAATTACATATGAAAAGGTTATAAAAACTGTCCACTGTCTTTGAGTAAATGAGTCTTGTTTAAAGCCGAATACCTTAGGAATTGCAAAAATAACAGTGAAGGTGTCCTTGCAGAGAAAAGGTGGTATTGTTCTTAGTTCATTTTTAAATAACTGTCTCAGAAATCCAAAAGAAAAATTTTCAGCAAACCTTTATTATTTCTAATTGGACCAGCATTTTTGTAACCCCGTAATGTATTCAGATCCCATAAAAGGGAAAAAATTCCACCAAAAATTCTTCACAAATTTTTTGTAAGAAATTATTGAGTTACAACCACCATGTCTGTCTCGCTTTAAGCACACAATATTCTTTTTAATTGTAGCAATGGGGGACCAGGTATGTAGGCTGCACACTTGCCACCTCTAATTTCTACACAGGATTATTTGCAAGGGAGTGCTGAAAGTCCAGGTAAATTTATCTGTCAAAGCAGAGCTGTTTTCCCCTCATCACTAGAGCTTTTTCCCATCTCTCTTGTTGTAGTGCCATCCTGCACCTCTCTGTTCTTCACCAGATGAATCTCAGAAATGTGAACAGTTCGTTTTCTTTTTGATAATGCTCCTTCCTTTTGCATACTGGCAATAATAAATGATCATTTGGACACTATTATAGTCCGACATCATATCCAGAAGATTTGGAAAGTTATCCAGTGCCACTAATTTTACAAAGCTGGTTTGTACCTGGGCTGGTTTTCTCAGGATGGCTGTGCTTTGAATTTAGAGGTTAAGTTTTCAGTCTCACATGCCTACTATATTTGTTGATTGCATTGCAGTACTGTTAGAATACCTGGCGTAGGATCAATGCCAGCAAATTGAAATTATCAAGAGAAGTAAGATAGCTCGTAAATATCACATCAACAGGATTAAAAGATCACAGAAAGGAGACCATTTAAAACATATAGAAACTGGAATCCAGGTGACAGTTGCTTGTTTTGTCTACAACAAATTCTGTGCAAATTCAAGAGGAGAGCTGGTGCACTGCTACTGTCCAAACACTTGAATTAATCTGCTGATGGTTGAGAAACGGCTCCAAAACAGCCATTAAAATCTTTAGGATGATACATAGGTCATCCAGCAATTTGAAAGCACCAAGCATTACTGTACTTACAGAGCTGCATAAATAATGGAAATATAAAAGAACACAGTACTGAGTGAGTACATGACTGCAGAATGCGGTAGGAATACTGGGTAAATTCTTCCCTCTTGTTGACTGTGTTTCAGCAAATGGCATTACACCAGGGAAGAATCAAACTGTATTTTGCATGCAGCATAGTGGATTGTTAAGAGACAACAGGCAGGTGTTTCAGAGAATTTCCTCTCTGCTGTTTGCAGAAGTGCATGTGAAATCTGGCTGATCTATAGTCATTCCATTAGCTGTTGTCTTTCAGCAGGTAACTAGTTAAATTTGTGTTAAACAGGATTTGCTTTGCTGTTTCCACTTGTTGTTGGAGTAGAAATGTTCTGACACAACTTATGACCAATCAATAATTGGAAAGTGCTTGCATGGGTCATTTGAAGCCAGTAGTTTAGACAGTGTCAGCCACAACTGGGATTAAAACCTGCAAGGAGTTGTTCTACAATCAGTGATTCTGCAGCATCTCCTCTGGGTGTCTACATTTCATTTAATAAGGATACCCTGTAGACATCAACTGAAATAACTCTTGCCTTTGTTGCTTGGATGTTTTTGTGAGCTCTGAAATGAACTTGACATATACAAATATACTTTGTTATCCAGCCTAAAGGATGCAGGGCAGGAATTATTATCCTGTTCTGCTGACAACTTCAGTAGAAAAGAAATGACTTTATTTTACTGTGACTCCAAAGAGAATAAGAGTGTGACTACCTTCTGGTTTTCTGGGGATTTTTTACTTGTTTTTTTCTGTACTGATGCTGTTTTATTACTATTACAGGGCTATAATAATCCGAAATGGTGAAGTCATTCCAATGTCTTCAGAATTCACTCCAGAGACTGAACGCCAGCGACTTCAGTATCTGGTAAGAGACCTGAGGACCAAATGAGGTGCTACTGATGACAAGCATTGCCCAGTAATATCTAAGGTTCAGACACATGCCACTGAGTTACAGTGGCTCAGTGAAAGACCATGCGTTCACTGAACACTGACTGACCACGTACGTCTTTTAGCCATCAGCAAATGTGGATAAAAGCCTGGTGGTGCAAATCCTGATGAGTGGAGTCTTATCTCTTCTATGAAGGCCATTGATTAGCATGGCTGTGCTTGTGTACCTTGTTCAGCTGCAGACCTTCAGCATCTCATTGGTGTTGGGTAATGAGAGCTCAGACATACAGCTAACGAGCCACAGAGGTATTTCCGTCCATCCCAGTGTTTACTGTGTGACAGTATAAAGTACCACAGACTGCTCTTTGTGTGTGTGTGAATGATATTGCAGGGTTTTATTAATTTGCTCTAATAGTATGCCAATAGTGTCTTAATCAGCGAAAAGATCTCCAATTTAGAGGTGATCTCAGTGAGCATTAGTAGCTGCAGGATAGGATGGGTGAAGAAAGACTAGTTTTATTTAATGTAACAGCACCCATAATGCTGGGACAGGGTGACTAGCTGAGGACATGTGGGATGCTTTATACACCAAGTTGTGTTGTCTGATAAGCTGACCAAGAAACATAAGTCAAAATGCCCAGTGTTATATTTTGTCCAAACAATCCTGTTACTACTTAAGTTTTTCATCAAAGATCAGATTGGTTGGTTGAAGTTGACTGTCTGTTTGTCAAAATGTCATTCCTAACGTGGCCAAGAGATTTCTTTTGTGCTTCTTCTGGTCTCCTGCTTTTTCCTCTTAGAAATTTAAGCTTAAACCAAGGCAGGCTAACTGTCAGCTTTGCCTGACAGGAGGTGGACAGGCCAAGGCTAGTGGCGTTCCCTGGTCTTAAGGTGACTCTTATCTTCAGCCTGGCCCAAGTACTGTGGTTTGAAACTAGGCAAAATGCCCGTGATTGAAGGTGGAGGTGGAATATTTTAAAGGAAAATTGTAAATGTTTCCGCAATTGTCACGTTTGTTTTTTAGTCAGGTTCACTGGCTTGAAGCTGAAAATTTCAGAGGAAATACTGCTTTGGGAGTATTCATATTCAGCAAACCAAATGGAAAAGAGGCCTAAGAAATATTTACAGTTCAGTTACATTTAAAGTAATTTCTTTGCCTTTAAAATAAAAGCTATCTTCAGTATCTAGGGAGTCTGCGACTTCTGTAGGAAATATGAGATAAAGCATTACCTACAAGGAATTTTTTTCTCTTTTGATGTCCTTTCTGGCTTGTATTTGAAAACAGCAGCTGATCTGAAAAGCATTTCTGCTGTTTCCTTTGGAAAATTCCTTTACCTCTGTTTGTTTATTTTAATTCTATATGTAACAAATTTGCCAGGGCTATGGGTATCATGTTCAAAGAAAATACATGCAAGACAGCAAGAGTGTGAAACAAAATTAGAGATAATTTCAAACATAACATTCCATAAATAACATTTTTACTCTAGTGTTTTAAGGGGGAAAAAAAAAAAAAAAGACGACCCCAAATTTCTTACAAGGTTGACATAAAAATTACCCTCCAAAGGTTGCACCTGTCTTGCTGATTAAATCACAAATAATTCTCCTTACTCACCTTGGCTGTCCCCAGGTTCTTCTATCAGTATATTGCACCATCAACATCTCTCTTCTGCTGTTCTTATCTGAAAGTTACTTTTGATTTATTTTCTTATTTGCAGTTAAAGATGAGTTTCTTTTTTTCAACGTGTTGCACTGATCTTCCTGCACAATAGGAAGAACATCACATAATCATTTTAGCATAAATATTTTATTTCGTAAATGCAGAGATACTGTTCACTGTGGGGAAGTTACTGCTCAGGCAAAGGGAAGGTATGGTATTGCAGCCTGCAGGCTGCTGAGCATTCATTCCGTAAAGTAGGCACTGTTACCACTGTAAGGGCAAAGGAGCCTTACTCTGCCTTTAGTGCCTATTGATTGCTTTGGCCACACAGGACATTGGTTTAGGTCTTCTTTTCTGGGCCCTAATTTCCATATGCAAAGAAATCAGTGGGATAATGAGTTGTTCAGGTCATGTGAGCAGCCTAGTCTTAGACAAAACTGTGCTGCAGCTAGGTTGAGTAACTGGTGTGGGGGTGTCCGTGCGTGTATCCTGAGGAAGAACCCTTGGGGGGAGCAGTCCATGTATCTTAAGGGAGAACAAAATCTGGTATTGACCGGGAACTGCCCTGGTATATTCAGCAGTTGTGCAGGCAGCAACTGCTAGAGACAATTTTCCTTTCATCTTTTGAGGAGACTATTAATTTCAGTCATGATAGTCTAATTATAACAGTAAATGGATAGACTTGGTTACCTATTCCCTTGGAAAACATGTTTAAAATGAATTATGAGTGTACTGCAGATGGGTATATTTTTATTAGTTATCCAAGTTGCACTTTGATGATGTCATGTGAAGGCAACGTGGTGTTACTGCATACTGTGTCCATGCATATAGCCAGGCAGTGCCCCAAAAGTTCGCATCTCAGACCAAAGATGGTGCACTGCTGCTACCAGTGCAAGCTTTACTACTGGTAGAGACTGGGTGGCTGTCGGTGGCGGTGAGCCACTTTGTGTTAGTGTTTGGCACCGTTCAGACAAAGGTTCATGAGCCCAGACAGGCATGGGTTCAAAGAGGACCTATTCCTATTTCATTGCTCAGGTGAGGATTAAGTGATACTACCTTACCTGCTGAAGGATGCTTGGGGAACCCAAGCCTGAAGAGGAAATGAACCTAGATCTCCTAAATGTCGGTTCAGTGCTTCAGTTACAAGTCAGATGTCTGTTTGTGGCTCCCTGCATCACCCAGTGTAGGATCGCTTTGGCCATCTGACACATTGCACAATGCTGTGGTAAAAGAGATGTGTGGTTTTATGGAAAGGATACTGGCCTTTCATAAGAAGTTGTGATTTTATGGAAAGGGTGCTGGCCTGTCATAAGAGGAGAGGCTAATCCAGGGATGGATTTGACTCCCACTTCCCTCTTTCCTTCTGTCACCACCTCCTTTAGTTTTGATCTCTGTTTGGCTTAAATGTGTCCATGTGATAATGGCTGAGTTTGTGGAACTTCTGGATGCATTGCGCTGTGCATGCTGTTGTGAGCAGTAGTCCATATAGCAGAACATCCTATGGGAGAAAATGGCACAATATGATAAGAGGGTACAGTTGTAACATACAGTTGATGTAGGGGAAAACAGCAGTTCTGAAAATAACACAGAATACAGTGAAGCTGCTAGTGCTGGTGATGTCCCAGAGCGGCGCATACTGGAGGAGTTGGAAAAGGCATCAGCAAGCCTTGTCAAGGTAAGATAAGATACATGCAGTGTTCCCTGCCACCTAATTAACTTGACACACTAGTGTGTAAGTCTAGTTTTGTCTTATTTTCATGTTTGCTTTGGTGATCACCAGGAAACACAGCAGGAAGTAAATGGCCTTTTGAGAGAAACGTGATTAATATTTCCTTGAGTGAACTCCATTTTAAACAACTAATGGTCATTGTAATACATCCAGACACAAAATACACCATAAAATGGCAGAGTACCAAAAACACATGATGCAGACTATGCCAGATTTATGCCAAAAAACTCTAATAGCTTCTGAAAGAAAAATTATGGAAAATATTCCTGTTCCATAACACAGAATAACAGTGTTGTCAGAACATACCTCATAAGGATATAGAAAGTGTTTGATAGTCACTCTTTTTATTAAATTTTAAGTTCTTTGAACAGTGTTCCTGATCTGAGGTCCTTGCAAGTCGACACTAAACAGATGAAAAAAAATGGAAAATACAGTGCCCCGTTGCAGATGAAATTCTGGTGGTCAGTTCACTTACCATTTTTGTTTCTTGTTTGAGCACTTGAAGGGATTTCATGGTGTCTGCTTGTATATCTACTTGAAAGATCTGTAGATTTTTAAAGTGTTGCTTTTCATTTATTTTCTGGTTCTGCTGCCCAGCACAGTTTGATTAGGGTGGAGGAGAAGAGTGCTGCCTTGTCATAAATGGAGAACAGTTCTCAAACCTGACTGGAAGTCACAGCTGAGTTTTACAGTAGAACGTTCTTCTCTCTTACCAGTGAAGCACCAAAAATAACTGTTAAAAAGGAAAGGGTAAAAAAAAATAAAATAAAATTCCCCCACCCTCTTCTAAAACCCCAACAAAAATCCCCATTTCTTCACATAAGAATTCAGTTCACAGGCACCAGAAGCTTCCAAATTGCTCTTTTCCCTCTGTTCCACTGACGCCAAAAATATTAGAATCAAGTTAAGATCCCTGGATTGTAAATCAAGCATTGAGGCTTGGCTGCAGAAGAGAAATCTTATTTGAACATTAGCAGTCCACTGGTAACTCTTCCAGCTTTATTAATCTTATTTCACTTGTGACCTCAGACTTTCCATCTGAGTAAATCTTTATGAAATGCAGTCTCTCCCAATCGCATTACCTTTTCAATAAAGGAAATTCTTGTTTTCAAGGGGGAAAATGCTAAAAGCCTGTAACTTTTTTCTTTTGGACCTGTGATCCAGTCTATTAACTAATCTCATAATCTAAAGGTTAAATAACTTCATTTTGGTGTCAGGTATGAGGTTTTGCTTTAAATAAGGTTTCTTGTTTTGTAGGCAGGCGACAGTAGTCTTTAGCTGGAAGTGGTTTGTAATGATTTAATCAAGATAGGCTGTGCATTTTTAAAAGTGAACTGAATTGCACTTTCAAAGCAGATGGACATTATTTACAATATCATAGACTAGAAAGAATTAAAAAATACCAAAAAAAGTCCAACTCTCTTCTGTCAATGTTCGGTCTTTTTTGGGACTGGAATGAAAATAAATAAAAATAGAAAGTTTACATGTACTTCTAAATAAATAATCCAGAGTTCTGGAAGTATGGAAAACCTCATCTGGACTAACACTGCTAGACCTCTCAAAAGTCACTAGTGCTTCTCAACCATTTCTGTAATGAGGAGCAGTGATCCAATTAGAGGGTCCTTGAAAACAATATTTGGGTTGGGGAGGGGACCTTGTCTGATTGTAGACTGCAGGAAAAAAATGTAATTCCCTTAACTGTATACAGAGAGAGAATTTGACTGCTCCTGTTCCAGAAAGGGATCACAATGTCAAGATCATATTTATGTGCTTGAAAGCCTCCTCTTGAAAGCAGAATCCAGTCTTGTCGGCTTCATGCAGCAATTTCCCTCAGCCCTGTTTCATCTGACCTCGAGGTGTTTTCTGGAAGGATGTCTGGCAAAAGGAATGGGGACAAGCTGATGGAAGGTTAGCGCTGTGATGTGCTCAGCCTGATCCAAAACCTATTAAATTGAGTGGGAGCAGGCTTGGCTCTTAAATGCAGGAAACATTTTATTGTGAACTATCTGCATGATAGCTGCCAGGTAGATCAATAAGAGCTTCCACTGCTTCCTGCCACTCACCTTTGATGAGCACTAGATTTATGGCAAACCCACAAACTAAAGCCAACTCATTTGGTCTGCCCTGATGGCAGCTGCTGCTGGAGATAAGACAGACTTTATCGCCTTAACTGACTGGATAAAGAAAAAGTTATCTATAGAAGGGTTAAGAAACGTACCTTTTTTCAGTTCCCTAGCCAATTTGACTGTCTTCAGAAGAACTCACTTACAATGCGGCTTTGGGGAAGGAGGAGGAAAGGCTTGTTCATGCAAATATTAAAGAAAAATCAGGGAGGTTAAGGATTCACCTATTGTGTCAGGTAATCTGTATATAAATCCAAACCAAAAATCTGTGTGGTGGACAAAGAGCCTCGCGACATGAGCCTCGGACAAGGCTGTAGCAAAGAGGCATTCCAGCGTCTGCAGGGCAGCAACACCAGACTGGGCAGCAGCAGCAGTATTGAAATGTTAACACCATCAAAAACATTAGTTGCAGCTGTGACACAAAACTGCTACTGCTTTTCTTAAAGTCTATTCTGTACAAAGGAAGTATTTTTTAGAAAACAAAGTGCTGTGCAACTTGTGTTTATTTGCAATGTCTCATGCGATGGGGTGCAGCACACTGAGCAGGTAAAAGTGAACATTTTTCTCAAGGCAGTGAAAATTAAAGTGTGGTAGTAATATTAGGTTGTGTGCATTGTTGGCGTAGCTGAACTGGGAGTCAAAAAGCTTGAGCTTCGCTCCATGCACACCCCTCCATTTCGCTGCTTGCTCCCTTGAGGATTTGTCCTTTGATGGTTCCCTTCTGTCAGGTCGCTGACTTGCAAAAGGAGATGTGTACTGTTTATGGAGCCCTGCAAACTCCTTCAGGATCAGCAGTTAAGGTGTGCTTTAGAGATCCCAAATGTTGAGGAGCAGAGAGAAGTGAAGGATTTTGAGGGCAAGAGGACTGCTCTCTGTAAGACTGCTGCCGGACACCAGGCAGTGTCAGAACTGGTGTATGTGCACATTGTTTGCTGAAATTGAGCTCATCATCTTCCTTGTTTAAAAACTGGGGGGGGGGGGGGGGGGGGGGGGAGGGTTTTTTTTTTTAAAAACGGGGGGGGGGGGATGCGTGTGGGAAGGGAGCGGGAAGGGATGGTAATGCTACCTCATTAAAAATAGATGATGTCTTGTTTTATGATGTTCGCGTGGTATCTGTGGCTTGGTTTCTGCCCACAGGCTTATATGCAGCCCCACTTGCTGGGAAATGAGTTCACACATTTAGAGTTTCCACGGAGGGTGCAACGCAAGGAAGTTGGAAAGAAGATGCTGTACCGTGACTTCAACATGACTGGCTGGTAAGAATGTGTTCTACTCAGCATGGGGTCAGCCTTCTCCCCAACCAATGCCTGCTTTGTACGTGTCTTTAATTAGCGCAAACTGCATTGAACACGGAGGTACATGCCTGTGTACTAAAGGGAAAGGTATTTCCTTCTTTCAGATACATTTTTACTTTAGAAATTAACATTGTAAATAAGTTGACCTCACTCCAGAGCCAGGACCTCAGTTCATTTTAATGTGTGAGCACTCAAGGCGGAGCAAACACATAAAGGGGAAGACATGCCCAGGGATCTTCCTGAAAGCTAAACAACTTTCCTATCTTGGCAGTAGCTTTTAATAGAATCTGGATCAGTGGGCTGTTATGCCTTTGCACACCAAGGAATACTTGCAGAAGGGAAGACTGCCTCCCATACTCCAGTGCAGCTGACCCCTGATTTGGGTAACCCTTGAGGAATTGTTTAAGAGACAGGCCTATCTGAATAAAAGTCACAGCCAGCCTAAAATGAAAAGGTTTAAATGGACAGCACTGACTTAATGAAGTGAAGACAGGAAGAATGATGAGTTTTTTGTCTCTGGCTAAATGTCTTCATTGTTTTGTGTCAGTTCAAGAGACTCCTTCCCAAGTGACTCCCACTCACTTAGAGAAGCCCTAATCCTTGCTGTTGAGGGCTCTGTGTGTGACCTATAAAGGAAAAGTCCCTATATATGCAAATAGTCTTTGCTTCCATGCTGTTTGTGTTTTAGCATCCTTAGCAAATATCTTTTCAGGAAGGGAAAGAATGTAGGTGGGTTAAAAAGCTTGAACCTCTTGTAGGTTTGGGGACTCTTATGCTCACATGCAACTGCAACTCCACATGCCCCTGATTTGTCCCATACTTGATAGACCATAAATATAATGATGTTTTAATGGCAGAATAATGATCTAAGTTTAGTATTGTCTGGAGGGTTTGTACAGAACATGTTAATCTGGGAATAGCCATCATTGTCCATCGTCTTGAACAGCTGCTAGTAGAATATGCAGTCTCACCCTGAGAATGATGACTTCACATTTTAAAAAGGCTACAGGCATGAGCAAAAGAATAGGAACAGAATGAGAACATTAGATCAACTGAGGACTTAAACAGCAAAACATTTGGAAGATCATGAGACAGTCTCCCAGTTTCTGCAAAGGGAGTTTTTCCTATTAACTCCCGAATGTCTCCGAAAGCATCAGTAAAGAATGGCTTCATATAGACTTACAAAAGCTCTTTTTCGAGATCTGAGATGCTATTAAAAAAGAAAAAAAACTAAACACAAAACAAAATATTCTAATTTGGGGGAGAGCTACAGAAGTATCATGGGCCAAGAACTTCCTGAGAGGGGAGGGTAAGAGCAGAATTCTTCCATCATGGTTTGAAGGCAAAGAGAGTTGCTCCAGGTTTGTGGGAGTTGTTTTGTGTTTCCCCACTTGGTTAGTGGTCTGGAAAGGAAATGAGGTTAGAATGGTTGAAGTTTCCCCATTGGCAGGTGACACCACAGCTCTTTTCCTAATAACAAGAAGGGCCATGAGGAGCTTGCAAAGAATTAAGTGATTTACATGAATGGGCATGACAGTGATCAAATTTGTTGCTGATAAATACCAAGTACAGCATGAAGAGGGAAAAACAACTATTTGTGCACACTAGAGGTTCCAGATGAACTTGAGAGCCATGTCAAAAAGCTCAGTGGAAGTTTTGCTTACTGTGATTTTTACAGTCAAAGTCACCAGCAGAATGTTGGGATGAATATAGGGTTGGAATGGTTAAAACTTAAACAAAGAGATGATTGTGTGTATCAGTTGGTACATTTGTGAATCTGTGCATATCGCTTCACCATAAGGTGAATGGCTTTGCATAGCTAATCCTGTTTGGCATTAGAAGTAAGGTAAATAAGAAGGAATGCAAATTTTAAATGTAGAATAATGAGTAAGGTAGAAAGCTTGGGTAAGTCTAAATGGATGGCAGATGTGATTCAATGTATTGTTTTTCAGTACTGGTGTGTGAACTCTGTTACCTCTAGCATGTGGCAGGGGGAGAAGAGAGTTATTTTCCTATTGGTTCTTCTGAATTTCCTGAAGTGGAGGACACATGTTGATCCGGTTACAGATTCTGATATGGTCAATGCAAAAATTACCACCAGTTTAGCACAAGTCTGCCTAGCTGTAAGCAGTTATTCTGGAATAAATACTTAAAATGTGACTTGAAAATTCAACTCCGATTTCAGCTCAGTGTTGTCCCAGAAAGAGGTGGCCTGTGCCAAGCAAAAGCATGCGGAGACTGTGATGAGGCTACCTCTCCCTGCTGTTCCTTTTGACTTCTGGCTGGAAGTGGAAAATGAGGGCTACATTTTTTATCCTAAATAAAAAAATCTGAATCTCTTATCTGCTCCATATCCCACAGGTAGTGCACCAGTTACCTCTTTGTTAGCCGCAGGACAATAAAATGGTGAGGGAATTGCTCTATCGCCATACGTTTATCTAAATCAGAGCCCTTCTAAATAAGGATCCATTGCTTTTTGCAAGGTGTTCGCTCAAGGGAGTCTTGTTTTCCATCTAATATTGTGCTGTGATCTCCTAAGCAGAGGAGAAGCAATCTGTTTCTATTTATCCAAAAGTCTGGGTCAATTTTAATGGTTGAGATTGTGGACAAGACGTTAGATTTCCAGCTTGATGGGCCCTCAGAGGCAATGCTTTGAGGTGGCTGGTGTTTCACAGTGGTCATTTTCCACTTCAGGGGTTTTGCTTCTATTTTCTTCTCTAATTCCTAGATTTAGCTGTGCATCAGGACACAGTGGTCGAAGTCTGTTCTTCATTTGTTTCTAAGGATGAAATCTATCATGGAGAATAAATTAGCATATATATTCCTTTTCTAGAAAACGTCAGATGGAGCTTTGGCCAGCCAGAGCTTGATACACTAAAACACTGCCAAACTTTTATCACTTACAATGCAGAAGATCAATTGTCTGAACCTTTTTTTGGTCAGTGACTTCACTATGCGTTGACATTTGCACGTACATGTAGAGAGGTTCAGGTGATGTTAGGAAGAAATAGACACTCTTAATTACTGATTTCGTTAGTAAGAGGGCATGAAACTTAGTCCTCTGATATTTCCTCAGGAAAATGAACTGATTTATTTTAAAATTCAGGGCACTTTCTGTGTTTTCTATTAGAAGCAGCATTTTTTTTTCTTCATTCTTACTCTTCTCCTGTGCTCTGGAGCTTTTCAGATTCTCAACAATGGCTTGGCTTGCCCAGCTTGTCTGGATTACAAAAGGTTATTGTCTTTGGGTCTGTCATAATGCATTTGTCCTTTTTTCTTTTTTTTTTTCATGTGAAGTTTCCACACTGGCTTTGTCTCAACAGCCCACAGTGGTAGCAGAGCTGCCAAGTTTCCCCACAGCATTAGGACAACCACTGATCCAGCGATGTGTACCGCATCACTAGTCCAGGCTGCCTGTAACTGCTTTGAGACCAGCCTTTCCCTTCTCCCTCCAGCTCTTCCACCCTTTCTCCTTTCTCTGAAGTGGCAGCTGGGGTGAGAAATTAACTGTATTAAATGTATCTAAAATAAATCCCATTTAGATGCAAGCTGACTGTGAGCTGCCCCTCCTGCACCCTCGCCCCATGTGTGTTGTGGTTGAGCAACCATTGCAAAACGCGTCCTGGAGCTGGCACGGCATTTTAGGAG